CCATTTCGAATTGCAGTCCATGGTCGTCGTGTCCGCCCTTTTTGCTTTTGCCAATGTCTCTTCGATCGTCTTCTGGTCTGGCGCCCTCCAGCCTCCGTCTCTCTCCAGGTCCGTTTTGTTTGTCGCGGCGTGCATGGAGTGAACGCCGGGGTTGCACCGCGCCCTTTGACCAAGGTGGTCATCAGCGGTCTCCAGGGGGTTGCGTTCGTCCAGGTCGTTGAAGGGTTGATCTCTGGAACGTCCATGCTTGAAGCATTCCTCGTCTGATCTTCTGGATGTGGTGACGCATACTGTTGTGGCGCGATCGCCTCGGGCCGCCGCGCCGCCGCGTGGGGCAAAACGCCTGCGGGGGCGGGGGCCGCTTCGCGAGCCACCTAGGAGGAACAGGCGGCTGAGGGAGAGGGGGATGATGGTGATATGATGGTGGTGATGGTGATGGTGATGGTGATGGTGATGATGTCTCTTATTATTGTGAATACTGATCTTAGTAGTGTTAACATTATTATTGTGATGATGCTGATGATGATGATGCCGGTGCTGATGATGATGTTGATGATGATGGTGGTGATTGTGATGATGATGATGATGATGATGATGGGGGTGATGATGATTATGATGTTGATGGTGTTTTTGATGATGGTGATGATGGTGATGATGGTGATGGTAATGATGATGATGATGATGATGATGATGATGATGATGATGATGATGATGATGATGATGATGGTGATGGTGATGGTGGTTGTGGTGGTGGAGTGGTGGATGTCGTGGTGTTGATGATGATGGTGGTAGTGAAGGTGATGAAGTTAATGCTGACGATGATGATAATTTTGATGATGATGCTGCTGATGATGATCATGAGCTGGTAATTACGATGATGATGTTTCTGGTGATGATGGTGATGGTGGTAGTGATGATGATGCCGAGATTATGAGGATGGTGATGCTGACGATGATGATGAAAATGATGTGGCTGCTAATGGTGGTGGTGATGATGGTGGTGGTGGTGATTACGATGACGATGGCGATGACGATGACGATGGCGACGATGACGACGATGACGATGACGATGATGATGATGATGATGATGATGATGATGATGATGGTGATGATGATGATGATGATGATGATGATGATGATGATGATAGGGTGAGGATGATGACGCGAATGCGGCTGATGATGATGACGATTACGATAATGGTGATGGTGGTGATAATGGCGATGATGCTGATGATGACGGTGATGATGATGCTCATGCTGATGATGGTGATGGTGGTGATACTGATGCTGATGTTGCTGATGTTGTTGATGATGATGATTGTGATGCTGGTGATGGTGATGGTAATGCTGATGATAATGATGGTGATGGTTGTGATGATGATGCTGATGATGAGGATGATGGTGGTTGTGGTGGTGGTCGTGGTGGTGGTGATGATGATGGTTGTGATGAAGGTGATGATGTTAATGATGATGATGACGATGATGCAATTATGGTGATGCTGATGATGCTGCTGCTGAAACTGATGATGTTGGTGACGGTACTGATGACGATGGTGATGATGTTGCTGAGACGATGATGATAATGATGATGCTGCTGATGATGATGCATATGATGTTGCTGCTGATGGTGGTGGTGATGATGGTGGCGGTATATCACAATGACCATGGCGATGGCGATGACGATGACGATGATGTGAGGATGATGGTGCTGATGCGGCTGATGATGATGGCGAGTGTGATGCTGCTGATGGAGGTGATACTGTTGATGATGCTGCTGATGGTGATGGTGATTCTGATGGTGATGATGATGATGATGATGATGATGATGATGATGATGATGATGATGATGCTGATGCTGATGATGATGATGATGATGATGATGATGGTGATGGTGATTGTGATGGTGATGGTGGTGGTGATGAAGATGGTGATGATTACGACGACGAAGAATATGATGATGAGGAGGAGGAGGAGGACGGCAGCGAGCAGAACGGCCACAGGCCTCATGTTTGCCTCTCGGAGTTTCTTCGGATTTGTTTCGGGGGCCCCTTTGGGCGTCTTGGGTGGCCTCTGGGTCGCCTTTGGAGCCTCTTGGGGATAGTGAGCGCCTCTTTGCGCCTCCAGGGCACCTCTTGGGGCCGTCTTGGGGGCATCCTGGAAGAGATCGATCAATGGAGGGGGATCCTTTCTGGGGTCCCCACCCCCAGGTAGCCACCGTGTTGCCAAAACCGTGGTATCATCTATACTTTTTGCCCTCTCGCCGAGGCCCCTTGGGGTGCTGGTGTGCCTCTGGGGGGCCATACTGGGGCGTTTTGGGCGTATCTTGGGAGTCCCCTGGAGCCTCCTTTACACCTCTTGGGGCCCTCTTGGGGCACCCTGGGGAGCCTTGGAGGCCGTCTTGGGGCAATGTCGGAGGAGATCGATCAAAGGAGGGGCTGGACTACATTTAGGGTCTTCTCTTCCAGGAGCCCAACATTTGGCAACAGCTTTGTTAGTATCAATGATGTTGACCTTCTCGCCGAGGCCTCTTGGGGCGTCTTGGGTGCCTCTGGGGAGCATACAGGGGCGTGTTGGGTGGGAGTCCCCTGGGATCATCTTGGGGGTCTCTTGGGGCATCCTTGGCACCTTTTGGGGGACCCTCTTGGGGCACCCTTGGGAGGCACGCGGGCCATCTTGAGGCCATCTCGGAGATAAAAGGAGGGGTCGTAGTACAGTAGGGCCTGCCCCCCTCCCCTGCCAAAATGTGGCCAACATCTAGGCACATTCAATGATTGTGGCTTCCTCGCCGAGGCCATCGTGGACGCTCCAACCCCTCTCGGAACGCCCCGTCCAGGTCCAGGGGGAGGGTGGAGGGTGAGGGGTAAACCCCTCCCCAAAGGTGAAGAAGGGGGTTGGAAGAGGAAACTCTCTAAACCACGCACGCCCTGACGGGCTGATAGGATTAGCCCAGATACGACCATCTCCGATTCAGACTGCAGGCAGCTGGGGTCCGCTTCCGCATACACTCATTGCCGGCTGACGGCAACAGCCAGCACTGCCTGCACTACAGCAGCACCAGCAACGACGGCAGTGTTCCCCCCCGATTCCGGTTCACACGTCTTCCTGCCCTACTTCTGCGACGCGAGCGGCCACTCCGATAACTCCCACGGCTCTAGACTGCATGACGGCCGCGTTCCAGACTCCACACGCGGATAGCAATGTTTACCCACCAAGACCTCGTCCACCCCGAAGCTCTCCTACGCCACCAGCCTCACCACTCGACCCGGCTCGAAATGCCACCTCATCCACGAGCTAGACTCCAGGGATTGTGGCACAACCCTCCTCTACCTTTCAGGAAGGAAAAGCACACACAGACACAGTTAATCGTCGATTTCCCCGAAAAGACGGGGAAATATGGGAAGTGGGTGGGAAGACAGAAACCCAGAACATATTGGAACATATGGGGAATCTGGTTCTTTGTGTCTATTCATTTGTGTGTCTCGGAGCCCCTTCAACCTTGCCTGAGCGGCCCGTGTCTTCGCGCCAAAGGGGAATTGGAAGGCGGGGTCGCCGCGCCGTCCCCGGCAGGGCGGTGCGGCACCGTGGCCGCGCCAACCTCGCAGCCGCGCTGGCTGCCTCTAGTGAGTTCATTCGCCCGGTGCTCACTGGCATCAGCCCGAGGGATCACACGAAGTCGTTCGACAGGGCTACGTGGATATCATCAGTCAGAGACGCGTCTGAGAAGCTCGACCCTGTTGTTTCCCTGCAAAAGAAATGCGAAGTCATTTCGCGCATGCGCAGTGCCCAGAATCCCGCTCGGGTGGAGGGGGGGGGGCTCGGGCCAACCTGCGAGCAGCTTGGTCCCCTCCAGCGGAGTCCCCTCGCTCGCACGCCCATGTCGCACCGATCTTGTTTCCAGTGCTGCGGGCTGCACCGCGCACTCCCTGTACCGTCGCCGCCACCTCCCGCCCACCTCTCAGCCTCTGGGCACATCTCTCCCCTCCCTTTCTCCCCTCCACCTCGCGCCACACTTGTATCGGGCCGGACGAAAGGGGGGGATTGGGAAAGGGGGGATACGAAATCTGCTGCATGCAGCTGGTTTCGGCCCCACCGCGGGGCCCATGCCTCGATACATAGCCGCCTCCGGCGCCGGGAGGCGCCGGGAAAATCAGCTAGGTGAGCTGATCACACTCTGGAGGTCGTGGGGCCCGCGCTCGTCCTGGATTCTGGGGTCGATCTCGAGAGGGCAGGATCGTGTTGTAGAACAATCAGGACGGGAGGTCTTTGGCTATTTTCGGCCCCGTGGGGCCCTCGCCAGGCCTCGGGACCGTCCACAGTCGACTCAGGACGAAAAGCTGGTCCTGGGGAAAGGGTCGAGACTTCCAGGAACGCCGTCTTGACAAAAATCAGGACGTCGCATGTCAAAACCATTACCGCTGCATGCTCAGCTGCACCAGGTCGCCACCCGGGTCGCCACCACGGAGCCCCATGCCCCGTACAGTGTTTTTTCCTCTCATTTGATTGCCTCCCGCCCCGTCTGCGAAGCACAGTCTGGCCTGCGCGACCCTGCATGTGGCGAAGGCTGCAGCTCGAAACCCGCCGCGTTGGCGTTGTGTGGATACGCAGGTCGTCCCCACCGTGCCGTTGTTCCACCCTCTCTTCTCGCTTCAGAAAAGAGCTATGCTCCTCCCTTTTCCCACGGTGCTGGCTGGGAGGGGGGGCTTCGAGGGTCTCCCTCAGGAGGGGGCGAAGGAGGAGGAGGAGGAGGAGGAGGCGGAGGAGGAGGAGGAGGGCAAGGGAGGAAGGGAGGAGGAGGAGGAGGAGGAGGAGGAGGAGGTTAAGCTGGAGGAGGAGGAGGAGGAGGAGGAGGAGGAGGAGGGGGGAGGAGGAGGGAGGAGGAGGAGGAGGAGGAGGAGGAGGGGAGCTGGAGGAGGAGCAGGGGGAGGAGGAGCTTGAGGTGGCGGAGGAACACGAGTGGGGAGGAGCCCCCGCCCCCCCCCGGTGGCGCCAGCGGAGCGGCAGGCGGAGGGGCGGCTGCAGCCCATCCCGCTGCTGTCGAGGCACCGCCGCCACCGCGGGGAGGGTGGCCGCCCCCTGCGCAGCCGCCGCTGGGGTCGCCGGCGGTCCCCTCGGGTTGAGTCGGGCCTGTCCTTCTACAGGGGGGAATATTCCAAACTAGTGAAGAACTAGTCTGGGGACGATGGTTTGACACTGTTGGGGTGTTTCGGGGATTTTTTCATTTTTCGTCCAGCATCCGCCGGTATGGGAACAGGCCCGACCTGACCCTCGGAGCCTCCAAGACGCCTCCAACGCGCCCCCAACACGCCCCCGAGAGGCCCCCAGCAGCCCCCACACCCCAAAAACGCCCCCAGCAGCCCCCACGTCCCAAAGACGCCCCCAGCAACCTTCGAGAGGAGACGCGCCCACCAGGATATCTCGGAAAGCTCCCCAGAGGCTCCCCGAGGTTGCCGAGAGGCCTCCGAGTGTGACACCGAGAAGCTCCGCAGCAGGCCCCAAGAGATCTCCCGACGGCGAATTACCTTCCCCCTTCTCCTTCTGCCTCACTCGCCGGTCGCAACGCCCCGTCTTCCCCTTCTCCCGCGCCCCCTCCCCCTCCCCTATCTCGTCCTTGTACACCTTCGTCATTATCAAGCGCTTGCCCCTGCTACTCATCCGTCTGGGCTCACCGAGGTCCCTGTCGCGATCGCGCAAGTTGGAGGTCGTGTTGTGAGTACGTACGGCTTGCTTGCGATTGGCAAAGGCACGATCGTTGGTACGCCAGCTCACATGTCGGGGCTGTTCTGGGCAGCACTCGCTCCATCGGGCAGGGCATTCGATGTTATGTCTGTTGTGCCAGGTTTGCGCTGTCCAGTATGCAAGGTCGGCATGATCGAAATAGATACGCAAATGATCCGCGGACGTTCTCCATTTGGGAAATATGCGCCTGCCTAACAGTGGCCGCTGTCGGTTTGGGGCGTTATCCGCTGTTTGGCATCGTACCCATGTTGTCCATGCCCACTTCGGGTGTCCAAACCAGAGGCTTGTTGAGCGAGTGCCGTCCTGTATTGCGCCGTGCTGGAGGCTTTTGTTGAGGACTCCAGCCAGTGGTGTGAGGCTGCCACCCCAAGCCTGGCCAGCGCTCGGCACCTCCGGAGCCGCTGCGCGCCAGGAGACTCTTCGAGACGCCATGGTTGCCGCGCCTTCCTCCCCCGCGGGGCCTCGTCGGGCAGTGGGGCGGGAGTGAGTTCAGGGTGAAGAGAAGGCGGGATCCACGGAGTTCCTCGCTTCCCAGGCTGAATCGGCCTGCTGGCACGAACCTGAAGGCAGCGGTTCGAAGGATCTTGAATGTGCGCCGACGCTGGCGCGAGTTCAACACATTTGCCTTTACGTTCGCGGCGGGTCCACGTCAGTTGAACGTCCTATTGCTCGTGTCCCCGCTCCAGGTTCTCCTGCTCTTCCCATGTTCGTATTTTGCCTGCGCCTGTCCTTGTCGTCCTGCTCCTTATCCTGCTGTTGCGTCTGCCGTTTCTCCTCCAGCTCGTCTTGCGCTTCCCCATGATTTTGGCTCAATTCCAATTTGCTCAACGAGTCTCGCTTCGAGCTCTCAGTCAGTGCCTTTGTTTGCCCCCCTCCTCGTGTCCCAAGAATGACGGAGGGTTGGAAGACGTTGATGGCCGAGGCCGAGGCTTTGCTCAAGGTAAGTAAGCACTTTGACGGGGTGCAGAAGATCAATTCGTGTATGGAGCTCTTCGAGACCGAGGTTCAGGGGAAGACTCGCAACGTAAACGACCGCATACATAAGCGCACGTGTGCATGACATTAGTCTACTTCGTCATTCTCCTCCTCCCCCTTGTCTTCGCCATCTCCTCGAACCCTTGGATCCCTCAGGATCCATTCGAACTCCCCAGGACTTCGCGAAGGTCATACCACCACTGCCAACACCCCTGAACCAAATCCCTCGCCTACCCCTCACCATCATTCTTACCCTCCTATCGCTCCCCCTCTCCCTCCTAGCACATCTCCCTCAGCCCCCTTGTCTTCCTTCTCCTACTCCTCCTTCTCTTCCTCCTTGTCCGCCGTATCCTCCTTCTCCTTCTCCTCGTTCTCTCCGTTCTGCCTCCTTTCCTCCTGCCCCGCCTCGTCCACGTCGTCCCTCACACCGCAGTGGCGACAACGACTGGAGACCGAGGTGGGGGGCTCTGGCTCCAGGATTCTCAAAGAGCCGAACGAGTTCCTGGCGGATGTCATGCCCACGCTGTCCGAAGAACAGAAGACCGCTCTGCGCTCGATGTACGAGGTGCGCGAGCGTCGTCGTCCAGGGTGGAGGAAGGAAGAGGAGGAGGAGGAACATGGCGGAGGAAGGAGGAAGAGGAGAGCTGGGAACGGGAGGGGAAACAAATGAGGGAGGAGGAGGAGCAGGGAGGAGGCGTGACCAGGAGCTGGTGGAGGAGGCGGAGGAGAGCGACGACGACGACGACCACGACGACGACGACGACGACGACGACGACGAGGTGCGCGGTGA